TATTCACCCAAGGGAACCGCAGCAGACGAACAGAGCAAAATATCGTAAAATTGATATGGCATTTTGTGTAACAAATGCAGATTTGCTAATTTGAATCTTTATTCCGTTCACGATATAAAATTGGCCAAGTGAGAAGCAAATGTAGTGTAATAAGAGTGAGGTGGAGAGCGTGCATTTTACGCTATATACATATTGTAATATTTTTCAGTACAGCGGTTGCAAAAGCACCTCCTCTTATATAAGTACACGATATAAATATAAAGTTCCTTCGAAATGATAGTTTGAAAATTGCAATTACGTAATGTCAATACACGGTATGACCTAAAACGGAAAACAGGATCTGTAAAGAAAATTTGCAAATTCCGTTTGCAGCATGAAGAAAAGTACCGCCTCAAGAGATGCACAATCTGGCACCGTTTGAACGCAAATGTGCAGCGTATAGGCCATATTCGATAAGAATGTTCGTCTCAGCAGCAATGAATAAATATTACATCATAATGGGTATTTCCTATTCGTTCACCAATCAAAAGTCTCTACCCACATCGCGTTTGTTTATCGGGATGCGGGCTCATCCTCCAAACAAATTGTATTGGATGGCAGAATGTTCAAATAAAGTACAAAACAATACGAATTGTTCTTGTGAGCAAAATATCCAGTACGGAAGTACCAACTCGTTAAACTTATTCAAAATGAAAACAATTTACATGATGTTCTATTAACGAGGGAGAATTAAAAACAAATCGCAGCGAGGAAACTCCCACTGAGAAATAATCATAACACGCATACGTGATTAAATCTTAAGTATCTATTAAGAAACTATAACAGAAAACTTAGAAGAAATGCCTTGTTTTGTAAGTTTACAGGCAAATAGTATCAAATGATACTATTGGAAATCATAGACCGAGAAAACAATTCCTAAAACTGACGAAAAAAAGGATGCCATTATGATCAAAATGCAGATGGTAGGATTTGTTTATTTTCTAACCGAACAGCTGTGCCAAATACTTTGTAATGCCATTTGTCTACAAATGCACTCCGTTACTAAAAGCATATAATGAGAAAAACAATCAAATATACCACGTATATGTAAATGAATGTCGCTAATAAACAAAGATAATGATAGAAAAAAAACTCATTAAAGATTTTTGAAGGAAATTTTAAAAATTGTTTTCATTTCAATTGACTACATGCAAAACGGAAATGTTCGATTCTTCGAAACATAGCGACCCCTATATAATAGTATCTGTCTAGTTAAAACGATGTGTAGTGGAAAAATTTCACATATGGATATAAAAAAAGACAATGAATACAAATGGAATGCATCCTTTATCAAGATGGCAAGACAATTAATAAGCGCAATTAGTCATTGTTGCTATTATGTCAATGAAGTGGTTATCGGTAGAACAGAGTAAAAATGTTCAGAAAAACGCAAACTTCATTTAACACTGACTTTCTTAATCGATTGTGAGCAAGTTCAAGTAATCACGATGCAGACTATCACGACCCTGACATATTGCGAATTAGAAATCACCGAATAAATTTTCAAAATATAACTAGACAATGTCGTTGAGTAACTGACCAATTTGTTTCAGACGTCGTTAGACGATCAAGAACTCATTTTCCATCCTTATCTGAGTTCCGTGTAGTAACCGCAAGGACATCGACTGGAAGAGGTAAAAACCCCCTGGACATCAATGGCGGCCAAACAAGTCTAGACGTCTGACGAAGGATGGGAATTTCAAAATTCAAGCCTTTTGTAAAAGGGAAGATGATTTACTAATCTCAAGTCTGGTGAGAGGATCTTTTTACACATTGATACTATGAAAAAAGTTTGACACTTTTTCAAAGGTTTTAAATCACGAGACAATTCAAGACATATTTATTGATATACATGTTTCGCACATCTCACGAGTCACAGTTTCGAACAACATACCAATTCCATGACATTTTACAGCTTTTTCAACAGTGATCTGACTAATGATAGAAAATTTCACACCCGCTGTGGGCTTTAAATAAACTTAAGGAAGACTGAAAGTAAATATACAATTACCGACGGACATGTCGGTTGGAGTAATAACAAAGTTATTTTCGGTAACGAGAGTCATAAATTCGGTTGAAAACTCCAACGTGAACGGTTGACCTTAGTTGCTTCTTGTCCGCCAATGAGTCATATTTTTATAAAAAAAAATCGTCCAAAGAAATATTATGCGCACTAAATCTTGAGGAGGATGATCTTTGCAGGAATATATAGAATGACCGGCCAAGAGTTACTTAAACAATATAGAATTATAAAGGTGCATGGTGCATGCATAACTACAGCTGACTTGCAGCTCGTCGAGTCAATACGATCAAGAAAACAGTCGTGAACTACCGGTAGAATATTCCACATAAATGAAGTCCTATATTTCGTCTGGTGGGTTCACTAATTATTAAAAGAAAATGTCCAGTTAATGGTTTCATGTGTTCAGTCCATTATAGATTCCATCGAAAATACAGGAGAACAAAAAAGAAGATGGAAGCAACTAAAAATTGAAGCTCACTTCCAACGAAATAGATGAGGACAGTGTTGGTCAAAAATAATTCATCCTCACAAGTTCGAAAATGCCTTAACGTGACAAATTTTACTTTGAAATATTCTTCAACAATCAAGTTTACATAAAAAAAAACTATTGAATTACCAGAATCAAATAGGTAAACCTTCATATCCAAAATGAAAAGATTTTTAATGTATTAGGTGAGCGTTTGGATACCACCTGGTGAAATTCGCACGGAAAACACAATCCAAGTGAAAGCGGTCCAATGACTCAATTACGAATAAAAAAAATTATGAACTAAATTTAGCGCACGTGACCGTTTCACCTGTAATTTGGCAACACCAACAACAATGCCCGAGTTATATGATACCAGTTAAATAATGACTCCGACAAATACATCATCAGATTGTCAACAGTTAGATGACTTCGTGGCTAGTTCATATTATTTCAGCTGAGGAACGATGAAATAGCATTTTGTCGACAATGGAAATTCCAATTTAAAATTTCGCGGCTATTTATATGGTTATGATAAATTCGCTTTCGAACATATTGGAGCAAAGAATACATAGACTTTAACAGATAATATACAGACAATCTTGCGTTTGGGCCAGTGATGAAATAACAATTTGGTCAAGATAAGATTTTTTCTTCTAAATTTCATTTTTATTAACGGGTTATATTTGTACAACAAATAGTGTAATCTCCACCATAAAATTTTGTCCGATTTCCCTTTACTAATAGTGACCGACCTACTTCGGGCTTTTGGCAAAATCATTTTGGTTTGAAGTGATATTCTGGCTTACTTTTATTTTCCTGTGCAAACGTAATTAAAAAAACTAGCCGGCGTATAACTTAGCGTTGAAACGTGACTCCTAGATACACCTGCTTAGGTATTTTTATTGTTAACTTCGTCGATCAAACGAAAAAGCAAACTTCGACACCAATATTTTCAAATCAAATAAATGACTAAACATCAGAAGACCCGGGTGACTAAAAACAAATATTAAAGAAACCATAAAAGTCAAATGTATTCCTGGTTCTACGATGTTATGGCAACCACCATCGCTGTGTTATAATTTCTTGAAACAGTTGCGAGTAGGCGTTTTAAATACAAGAAAAAACAAAACAATATTTTCTTGAACTGCCAATGAAATTACAAACAACGCCACACAATGCGACACGAGAGCGAATTTTCTTTTGTTGTATATTACTCCAGTCAATGGTCCACGGTGATTCATAAACCTAACGCCTTTTAAAAATGGAAAAGCACCTCACCAAATAAATGAATTATTTAAAATTCAAGAATGGATAAATACACGTATCAATCAATCATGTGCTAAACACACGTGATACAGTACAAGGGTCAAAGTATATGTGCGCCCACATAAATGTATACATTGTGTTACAACAGTATTATACAATTGGTCATGTGCCTTCTTGTGAATGTGATTGAAATATGGGTGTGAATCATAGTTTTCATTGTTACAAGACAATTTGAAAAATCCCCTCCTCCTGGACTATAATATTTCATACGTGGATAATTAATATAGATGACTGTGGCTGTTTGATCAGTGGAGAGACGTCTTATATAGTATTCGACGTAATAAATATAATTTATTACATACTGATTATTATATCACTATTTTTATGGAATGAATATGTAACTTTTGTAAAAGGGTTTGACCCTCAAAATCTAATTAAGTTTGGTTTCTCTGATGCGAGGGTACAAAGTTAAAAGATCAATCATATGCCGTGGTTCTGCTTCCATATCGTATCCAAGACAAACAAATACAAAAGAAATAGAGACGTATTTAATAAAAACATAAATAGGGTCTTATTCTCCACGCCCAGATGTTTCTCTTGTGTTTTGCTACAAATCTAGTTACATTTAAGAAGAATGAAAAAAAATTGCATACGATTTTTGAATGAAGATTCGAAAGTCAAGTAAGTCATGCCTTAGAGCCTAGGACGGCCATATCGGATGAAAATATCGAACAGTTCCGATCGTTAAAATTTCGTCTTGTAGAATATTTCAAATATTTTTCTTCTCAAAATCATACCTTGTGACATCTTGTACAGCATAAAGATAACAAATTTTATCATAAAAAAACAGCAAAATTTGTGAAATAGAATATAATGAGAAATTCACCGCAGTCCTTTTCTGCATATGCGAAAGACAATTATTGGATACAAAACAGAGCTGTCTAAAGTCTAAAACATAGTACACCGCAAACGCCATAAACAACTGATCGTCTCACTAAAACACTAAAATCTTACTTTCTGCTAAAAATTGCATCGTAAGTGCTTTTATAGTCTTAACTCTAAACGCCCCCATGTCTCCTGCGCCCACAAGGATACGGTCACGCAATATTCCATATAAAACTTTATTTCCACATTTTTATAAAACGTTTCTAGCCTCTAGCAATTTAAAAAAATAACAGAACAATAGGAAGAAATAGACATTACCTGTGAATTTCTTGCTTTCTTCTGCGTATGCATAACTCGTTGAGCAAGTCGAGCGAAGACTCCTGCAAGTTTAGCAAATTGTTGCGTCACACTTCCGCTGTTTATTTTCCCATCTTCATCTATAGAAGTAAATAAATCTTCTAATTCTCCATCTTGTTCCTGAGGAATTGAACTTGTGATTCCACCGATGCCTTCAAGCTGACGAAGCTGTGAAAGAAAAGTAATAAAAAATTGAAAATTTATTTGAGAAATCATGTCCAAAAGCAGGTTATTATAATTATTATTACTTATTAGTAACTGTGAATAAACCCGGTATACGCTCTTTTACCAATGAATATAAAAAGATTGACGCAAACGAAGGTTAAAGCAATGGTATTGATGGTCACAAAAAAGGCTCCACCATTGCAATATTTTGATGAAATGAATTTGCATAGCCCACAAAATCAGACTTTCGGAAGTCGACACCCATACACATAGATAACTAAACATCACTGTTTGTCGATAAGGCGATTACTCTTATATTGAGATTAGTGATTATATGTAGTCGCGACGCAACACGTGTGTCCTAAAAAATAAACCCATTTCCTGAATGTATTCTTTTTATCCGACCGCTTTCAGAAATTGTCATAAAATGTGAAAAATTCATAAAATGGATGCAAATGTACGACTATCGGACATTTAGATCCATTGTGGTGGTTTTTGTAAACTGAACAAGCCTGATCAAATGATTAAATGTGCATATTTTGAAAAACTTTTCTTGTAGCAATACAATATTAACTAGTCCAAATTTTTTACTTGCGATTTAAAGTAAATGCGCCATGAATATAATCGTCTAATAGTGCACGACTAAAAGATGAATCATGAATTTTCATACAAAAATTTGGAATTTCGGAACATGTTCTATAAATTGAAATTCATATCACCCCCCCCCGATCTTGAAAAACTTATAATGACTCAGATTTCCATATCTAATCCATTACGACGATGGAAATTGTGATGACAGACATGACCCTTTGACCGGTAGCCTTTCACAGATCAGGGAATTACAATCTCCATGGTTTATGACATTATAGTCATGATTCACAAAAGGGAAGACACAACAGAGCGTTTCACAGACATAAATATGAGCCTGGAAGCAGAGAGAGGCCTAGACTTTATATGGAAACCATGCGCACTTGAGAAGTTATCGGAAACAGTCGTAGCGCTGTGTAAAGTCGCGTATATGCCATATACAAAACGTTTGAAATTTGAAGTAAGGACTATTTAGCAGATGGCACTGGTGCTAGTCAAACAGTACGTCGTCAAAAATTGCGGTTTTAGATTTTGTAATACCGTGCTGAAAAAAGCATTCAAATTGACCCCATCTTGAGTTTGTGATGTACTGTTAACAGCACTTAGATTTCCCAAGAGTGTCGTGAGAAGTAGGCCCATTATTACATAATAAAGTATGATGGACAAATCATATGAACTGACGAAATCGTTAGATCACGTCACCACATAACGTCCTATATTCATTTCCTCCAAAAAAGTCCCATAAAATTCTCAGCTCTGAGACTTCCTCGTTATTATTTCCTTCAATTGTGATATTCGTCATCACAAAAATCTCCTGAGGAAATAATGTCGAATTTCTGCCAATGACATCTCCAATCTTTGCTAAAGACATCCACTTCCGAAATAGCGAATATATTGAATTCCACACCGAATACATTAACCAGCAGATCATTTGAAGCCCAAAATTAGTTTAAGATATCAAAGGCTTAAATTTACAATCACTAGATTGAAATTGGTTCCGAATGATGGCGTCTACACATTTGCCTTCAAGATTGAGATTAAAGATTGGCGTTCAGAATTGTTACTGGCCGTTCGTTTTAGGTTTGAAACAAGATTGAGCAAGAAAATACGCGAGCAAAACTTTGATATTATTCATTTATGGAAACGAACTGGGTTCAAAGGTTAAATAATCCATTAAAACGAATTGTCGCGGTTACTCATTGACAGAGTGCATCACCGTTCTACAAGAAAATTCACTTCAATTGAAATTCAATTAAAAACTTCAGTTCATGATTCAAAATCCAAATAACGCCAGTCAATAGGTTTTATCTAGATTTGAAAAAAATGCCAAATTTTAAGCGACTGCTAAAGTATTGATATAAGCATGGTTCACTCGCCAGTATTGCATATTTTAAGATGGCAATTACATAAGCATGAAACTCGATCTACGCCCACAGAAATACCATTTGGTGGTAAACTTTGGCACGAATATAACAAGATGGATTAATGATATGGCTCACCACATGACAGACCTAATTAAATAGCTTATCATTAGTAAACCACATATAACGATAGGAGAAAATGATAATATAGCAAAAATTAGCGCAAACGGAATTAAACAAGGAGCTTATCGAACAAATCCGTTGTCAACTTGTCATAACTCAAAACAAAGACATATTTTATAGTGTTTTGCATTTGCAACTTAAATTTTAACTAATGAATAAAATAAACTTTTTATTCATTAACAAACCGAATTCGTGGTAGAGCTCATTACCCTACCAGGATGTCTGTCTGATCAATCATCGGGCGAACACATAGCCAACTGTAAAATCCCCTCATTAAAAATTCATTAGAAACATTTCTATTGGAAGATAACTAAAATATAAAAAAAATTCTCACCTCCGTATTAGATACAGGATTGTCACTTCTCAGAACCTCATTAAACACATTAATTTCCTGCCAAAGGAAAAAAGTTTTATTAAATTTTCTCATTTCAATTAGTACTGGAATGTAGTCGCTAAGCTTCGGTAAAATGAACAATACCAACAAGATAATTTATGTAAGCATGGACATTTGACCAATATTCCATACGATTAAATTTCGAACGGAATATTAAGACAAGACATTACCATTTCTTTAAATTATTACCAACTAGACTAGATGATATGAAGTGAGGTATTCTTCGCAATATTATTGATACTTATAAGTTAATTTATAAAAGTACAAACAATTCCCCATCAGCCTAATTTACGATTCAATACGGTGAAATTTGAAAATTCCAAAAATAAATACCCAGATATAACCATTTCATGAAATTGTTACCAACTGGTTGGTATATTAGCATGGTGTTCCTACCCATATTACCAGTACTTGCTGGTTAATATATATATATTATATATATATATGAGCACAGGCAGTCAACAATTCGTTCATCCGACTATTCAATACGGTGAAATTGAAAATAGGTATAACTGTGACAGTATTTTTCCGCGTGTTCATGATTCTTTGTTTTCCTGTATTTGTAATTTGTTATTGCTGTGTTAAGGGATGATTTTCTATTGCTTTATTGTTGTGTTGCGTAATTATTAGCCCCGAATGCGAGAATGAGAAGGGATCGTCTTCCACGTTCGGGGCGGTGACACACAGTCGAGTTTGGTTTTTCTTGCGTTGAGTTTGTGTTGTATTCACTTGAAGTTGCAATATTGCCGTTATTAAGAATAAATCGCAGTCGAAATTGGATCTTCCGTTTTTATCGCAGTCAGATGTTTTATAGAGTGTAGCAAGAAAAGCTGCGACATAACTAGATGTTATCAATTATTAAACTATTACCAACTATATATAGTTGGTATATTGATATAGTATTCGATAATTTATATTATTAATGCATTTTGAAGCTAAATTTTCACGTAATTCACGCCTTTGAAAAAGGAATCAAACTTATTCGAATTTCCTATAAGCTATATTTTTGTTCGATTAAAATATATAGTCACGATCGCGACATTTTTGGCGTGGCAATACTTGGTATTATCAAATACACCACAATAATAGTGTAAATATCACGAGCTATTGATGTTGTAAATGATGGGCGTTACGTTCTACAGTCACGCACGCCATCTTGTAAAGTTTACAAATGTAAGACTTGTCAAGGACATGGATAAATTTCATACCAGCGAAGGTGGTGTGGTGGTTACATGACATCATATACCAATAAACTAATAAACTTTGACCTTGACGATACCGGAAATTCATGGCTTGTGACAACAAAGATATACGGATGGGTTGTTTAATTTAAACAAGGAATCTCAATATTGGAAGTTCCCCACATATTCATTCAAGGTGTGCTCTGAAATGTCGTAGACTAAAGGCGCATTTTCAACATTGGAACTAATACTTTACTATTAACCGGGTTTACTTTTGGTCCACTCATTATGTCAAGAATTGTGAAGTGACTGTGTTACCTTCAAATAAAAATGAACTTTCTCTTTTTCCAATCTTAAAACAAGATAAACACAGGCTCAAGAGGAATAAAGATTTTATTTATAACTAGCAAAACCCCCAAGTTTAGTCTAGTACTCGACGAAAGTTAAGTAGTTCCGATTTTACCAACATAAGCCAATATTGTAATCCTTGTGTAGTGATGGTATGTTTTGGGATGTTAGAGCAACTAAAGTTTTTATATATTTAAGATTGAGAATGTTTCAAAGTGGCATTTATAGAAATAACCGTTGGGTAGAATTTGCCTTTTAGGCTTTAAATCTTGTACACAACAAAACATTCAAAATTTTACCCAACTTCCCAGTCCAGAATTATCTTTACACGTTAATGCATTTTGAATTTTCATCGGACCTGCACATATCGTCGATATCTTTGCTGTATGTCGAGCTAGTATTGACAATCTTTTCATAACATATTGAAAGGAAAAAATTTCTCACCAGATATGGGCATTCAAACATTTGGAAGTAACCATATTTTTAAGTCGTAATAACAAGTAAACAAATTTTTAATGACCCAATTTTGCGATTTAATGAACAGATGCCGCCAATTAAATACTAAACGGAAGAAATATCGTAGTGTTTGGACCTCGTTATATGTCTGAAAAAAAGTCCCGCAATTAAATCGAAACCTGAATGATTTTCGTGTGAGGTATTTTCTCTCACGAATGCAATTATCTAATTAGATTGAAGTATGTGTATCGTGTTGGCGACTTTCCATCGGCCATATTCTTGAAATATCGGAGTATCATGCCAAACTTGGCAGAGTTTAAAAAAAAAACACTCATGTCATTTTTATAATTCAAAAAGGAGAGTCCAATAGCCATCTACGAGAAGAATATCATTCAAATGGCGACTGAGACCATACATTCATCACTATTTCTAAATGACATTTTAAAGATCAACATGATAACTCGAAATCCCATTCGTATCCGCATAATATCAAGATGGACATGTCATTAATGGAAGATAAATATAGAAACTGATATGGTCTCACTCTCATGGTAACCATTTGAATAGCTTTACCGTAGCAACGACCCTCTGTCTAGTAAGTAGCACTTAACCTGTTCAAATGTCACTGTGTTGAAGATTATGATAATGATAAAGGCGTGGCTACATTGCAGCAATTGGAGAGCAAAAAAAATCTGCGCTCGGTGAAAATGAGTGAATCAAATGCATTCTTTCCAGTGGTAATCTACTACTTTTCTAATGAGAAAATTTTGCTTTTTTTTGCAGCGCCTTACGTAAGAATTGGGTACATTTGAATTCCCTGGCCAGGGCATACTTAGGATGTATAAAATGGGCAGACAATGATAATGTTCAACCGGAGAGCGGAAAACCGTACGACCAAAAATATAGTAGTATATATAGTATAGCCTTTTCACGGCGTCTTATTCTTTTGAACTTTGTTCAGGACGGGGGTGGATACAACCGATAAATGACTTGAGGCAGAAAAATTTGCAAATGGGCTGTTTCTGGGCGTGTACTGTCACAAAGGGTAGCAAGGGTAATATTATTACCAAGTTCAATACAGACATACAATGTACGATATAAGTGAAAATACCCAGCAAAATAAGTCTGAATTCATTGTAAACGCAAAAAAAGAAATATGGATATTATGCGTCTAGTAGTGTCTTTGGCAAGGAACAACAGCCAGCAATATATTATAAGAACGGAAATCACCATCATTCTATGCATTATTGAATTTAAAATTCCGTGACACAGAGCGTTGAGCGTGCGTGCATACATGAAATGAAGATAATTTTAGAGACAAATAGTCGGGGAAAACCAGCAACATTTAGAGCGTTGTATATGATATAGATGACGGAAATATACATTACGGGTCAGTAGGTTAGAATGTTATCAATAAACGTCAGTTGGGGGTCATGAATATATTTCGTCTGTAAATGTCCCAGCGTATAAACACGTATGGACCATATGTTAAGGAAAACATATGGCCATTGCCAATATTGGACGGATAACTGTACAAAATTTGTAAGATAATGTAGTAGTGTTATCCTGTTATTAAATTGCCAGAAATTATCCTTATATGATTTCTTCGATCAGGCGAAAATTTTCAGATCTTGAAATCTGTAAAACTTCCCATTTTCGCAATGCTTTTAATCCTAAAAATCGATTTCAATAGACTCCAAATCGAAATTAATTAAATATCAACTATGCAGATAAGAGCATTCCTACAGGAAACCATTAGATTTTAAATAACCGGAGCTCGGAACGTACAATCCCATATGAGTTTGCAAAAAAAATGAGAAATATCCCGCTACTTCAAATTTTGAAAATTTTAATCGAAAAATTTTTATTTGAAAAGAGGGGAATAAAAACGAATTCTTACTTGTGATAAAGAGGCCATTGGAGTGTTTTGAGCTTGTCTTTCACAAAAAGCAGCTGCAGCAGATGCTTCCATTACTGCTGAAGTTGGAGCAGAATGATCCGCTTGTATACTTGCTGCGGCATCACCTGAATGAAAAAAAAACTCTTACTCTCTCTCGTACTCTCAAGCAAAAAACGTATAACTTCGATTCGTTTTGTCTTAGATGTGTAATTTTACCGGCTTAGACGATGGGTAAGAGGTCGTTTAGCTTTTGCATTTGTACATCTTGTTACATGTTATTATAACCCACGGATGTCATATAGGTGTAGGTAGTAAATTCAATAGTTTGTGTTCAGTAATATTCAATTTTAAATTTTTAATATTTTATATTATCCAATTATAGGGAATTGCTTCAATTATTTCTATCATCCGAAACCCCCCGCCCTAAAATGTTATGCAAATATCTCAAATTTCGAATTCCGTTTAAACAATATTTTTGACAATATTAAATATGATCTCGCAATGGATTTTTACCCATTGTAAAGATACTTAAAATATTCATATATATATTTTGTTAGAGCTTTGTTTCCCACGCACTGAATCAACTATCTGTCTTATCGCTTACAACCCGGTCAAAAGTTCATGAGGTATAATATTATTATTTTCCTGCTGTTCTGTATCGGACATTCTTATCCAAATTCAAATTTTGCGGCCCGCAAATATTATGCGGGAAATTTTATAGATCTTAAACGAGAATAGAAAAAAGTACGTCAACACAGACAATTATAGCAGACGTAGCCTCATTTTTCGGACACGATTTTCGCTATTTCGAAGACGGCGGGTGTACTTTCAATTCGAAGTTTATTGTTGTTATTTCAATTTATAATTTATGATATTATGCCTAAATATTGGCCACGTTTTATTCATACTTTCCCAAAGTCATTTAATTACTGCCCATGTCACAAACTTGTATAGAATTATTGATAGACCCAATTAAGGACATTTATAAATCAAATTTTCAATTCTGATGTATTTTATAAATTTTTCGGTTTCGGGAAAATCTTTTCAAGTATTGAGAGGATGGAAAGTTAGTTATATCCTATAAAATTACTTCTAAATTACATAGGTTCACCCAAACATAAGTTCAACCACGCACCAAGACGGTAAATTGTGCAATCGACTCGGTTTCTGCGGCGGCGAACTACTTTTGCGCTCGTAAATTCGTATGTACATAATGCCAGAATAGAATAAGATACCTATTCAGATAATGAAAAGAATCTTGTTGCAATCCCTCTCCTTGTTGTACTTGAAATATGTTCGTGTGAGGATAACATTTTAGTCAGACGGAACGTTACAGAAATATATTTGAGTTAGTGTACAGCAGGACTCACGAATCACGTAAGATGACACTATTAGGGGTATCTTCAAAAACTAAAAGATGATTGGCGGAAAGAATCAATTTCAAATTAAAAATTGCCAAAAAAATTTTTTAAGACGTATTGTAGCTTCAAAGGTAACTTTAAATATTACACCATCGACACTATAATTGTACTTCCCAATCGCGAATGCAATTCATCTACTTATGAACAAGATGCCTATCAAGCTTGATCTGATAAGTGGGAATGAGACATCCATTCACTAAAATTTTACATGACTTGCAAGTCGTGCCTAACGAAAATCATTGGTTCAAAAAACAAGACGAGAAATGAACAAAAATAGTTCTTTAATTAGTAATTAATATGTTGTCGTTCGATTTCGTAAGATGCTATTTCGAAAATATCACTTAGTCAAATGTTGGGGCATAAGTTTCTGTTAAAGCAATGATAACACATTTAATGGTGGGATTTTCAAAAAATATCACGAATATCAACAAATGAATCGAAACGGAAAGTACTTCAAAAAGGAATTTTATAGAAATTTGCTTATGCAGTTTGTATAAACATAGTCGTTTCGATCAGAGATTTTTCTGGCTTGGACAGGTTTTCACGAAATTGTACGAATTTTCCGCATGAGGAAAACAGCAGTTCGCAACGAGTTAACGAAGATGGAATGGTCACATGCTGAAAGAGGCCAATAAAAACCAAATGACGCAGTGAATACCACTCTAAATGGACAAGGGCGTAACTTATCAGCCCTGCGTGGGCAAAACTAGCGGTCTTGACATTTAGTTTGAAGGTTGGGTTTTGACGAGTTTGAAAATAATAAAATTCTTATCGAAGCAAGTTGAAAGTGTAAACGAGTGGGTGGTAAGGATAGCCGCTTATTTTCTGCCGTCAATTTTTCTAGGGCGTTAGTTATTCACGAGAAGATTTCCCAACCTCAGAAATAATATTGAATAACTATTCAGGAGAAAACGAACTTGAATTCAATTACCCTACAAAAATTCCAGAAATATTTTACATTTATGATTAAATTTGTAAAACGTTCAGCGTCATATCGATGACAATTTCTCAATCGGATTCCAGTATCCAGCGTAAGTTTAAGCCATAAATGTCTGCGTTTTTTGTTCGCGAAAGTGAGAGAGACAATAGCAAGCAAGCAGGGTGACACTACGCATAAAAGAGAAATTGCGTAGGGTGCGTGGGAGAAAATTCGAGAGAATTCGGGGTGACGCTAACCATAAATGAGAAATTGCGTCTGGTGCGTGGGAGAAAATTCGAGAGAATTCGGGGACGGCGTTGCGCCGTTTCAACGTTTATTGCGTGAACTAAATGCGGCAACAATCTACAATGGTCTTTGTGTATGCGGGTGTGAACAAAGAGACAAGGGTGGGGAAACTACGTCACGCACAAAAGAGAACCTGCGTCGGATACGAGGGAGAAAATTTGATAGAATTCCGGATAGAAACGACGCAAAGGCATTCATTGTCTCGGATACGCTCAGTTTACAATCAAAGGCATAATCTAAGTTTAGAAAAGTATTGTACTGGTTATGTTCAAGAACTTTCGAAACATCTCAATTATACACACTTGCCATAGTTATAAGTTGCGCTAAGGACTGGCTTGAAAATGGACAAAAAAATATTTTTATTAAATCTAGTTGTAAACTAATTGAACGCAGATCTAAAGATGTTTCACGGTAATTAACTGACAACGACGATTGTTACTTATCGATTTTCATCGGTAAGTATGTTGATAGGTATTTGTCTTTTTGTCTGTCTGTCTGTCTGTTGGACACTTTCGTATGTTACGCAATATCTCACGAAATCGAGGTTGAATCTGCTCCAAATTTTGCATGTGCATTCATCATATCTCGGATCAGAAGCCTATTGATTTTGTATGAATAATGTCGAATAATGTCGTACAATTAGCGCTAGAATTATTGATTAATTAGTGATGGGACACGCGGTGTCGCTATTGAGTCAGAGCGAAGGATACACACCGCGGCTAAATCGATAAGTCGGCGGTCTTTGATCGCTATCTCGTTTCTACTGGTGTTATCGAATAAATCATTTTCGGTGGCAATCACCTTAGTATCCCACAATAATAGGCCCCAGTGCGACACAAATATTTAACATTAATAAAAAAAATGGAGCGAAAATCACTTATAGGGAAATGTAAAACGAGTTCTCCTTCCTCAAACAGCATACGCTCCTAAATTTGCATAAATGAGTGCTTCATTTTATTCGTTGTGTTTGCCGACGTTATCATAATATAATACGACGTAGTAACAGGTCAAGCAAATTTTTGAACTCGGAAAATACCTATGGTCACCTCACCGATTGCAAAACACCACGTTTGCGACGTATCCGGTCGATAACGCTTATTACCACAAGAAACGTTCAGTTACGTTGGCGTGGTTTTTGCGTGATGCATGCTATGGAAATCGAATAAACTCCGTATGTTTGTTTTCAGGTACATAACCTGAAATACCTTTATCAGAAACTATTGAAAAATTCGTTAAATTTTGTGGTATTCTCAATGTATGGATATGAGTATGAACAAATAAGAGATAATATACTCATTTGAATACACGATCTAATTTGAATAACGATCTGCTTCACTTAAGAAAAATTCCCGAACAGATGTCGAAAATGCCAAAGTGTTGTGATAAGATAATCGTGATAATTAACTCGTAGACGACAAAACATAGCTCAATCAAAATTAAAGATTCAAATTAATTGACCTTGGTGGTACAATCAATACACACGACACAAGCCAAGTTAATAATTCTATAGTTCCAGGAAAGAATTTTCACTTATTATTTGCGTGTAATATCACCAATATTCTTTGCTTCATTGTTGTATTAACATATTTTTGGGTACTCCCGAAGTATGTGAACCAAGATGACGGACACCGGAACGTAGTATGTGTACCAGGTTGGGGTTAGGCCATAATTTCAGGTACAAATACTACGGGTGTCACTTAGCTAGTCCCCGACCTCGTAATAGAACTAAAATAAGGAAAATTTGAATAAAATTATGGCCTAACCCTAATCTGATACACATACTACGTTCCGGTGTCCGCCATCTTGGTTCGCATACTGCAGAAGTACCCTTTTGCACATATTATAAACTATTTATAATGCACAAAAGCCAGGGTGTCAGATTGCCTTCTTAGGATCCAATAAAGATAGAACAACAAACGTTTTTTTATGAAAAGTCAAGTAGAAAATAGCTACGATAGCACGTTCATAGGTTTTTTGGGGGAATGAAGAGTCTGGAAATTGCCAAAAAGGGAGATATTCCTTAAAAACGATTGGGAATCGATTGAATTAAAGCATTCAGCAGTGATTATTATGAATATTTCACTTATATAACACGATAAAACTGCAATCAAGATACTTACCAGAATTCTGACCTGATGTCAAATAGGTTTTAGGGGATTAAGGCATTCAACAGTGATTATTATCGATATTTTAAGTAATCACACGATAAAACTGCAATCAAGATACTTACCAGAACTCTGACCTGATGTCGAATAGGTCTCGAAATAACTGGAAGATCCCAAGTTCGATGTTACAATGCCCTGATTTTCGATGTGGTCATTTCGTCCAATTTCAGAGGAAGATCTTCCCTCAGACTGAAGCGCGAATGTTGTCGTTGTCACAGCGCTCGGAGTATGATTTGAAGGTATATGCGTCGTAGATAATTCAGGAATAGATGAAGTAGACGACAACGATGAAGTAGTTTTTACGTTACTAGGCTGAACGAGCTCAAATCCACTGTCTGGGGAAAAAAGTCATTTAATTAAAAATTGAGTTGAGTTGGCAGTCTGAAACATAATTTCCCAATCTGTCGCTATGATCGATGAACGTATGTTTTGCTTTCCATTGCAAAGAAATACTTGCCAAGAAGAATAAGTACTACTGTCAGAATTGGCTACTCCCGTAGTGTGTGTACCACGTTAGGGTTAGGCCATAATTTTATTCCGATTTTCCCATTTTAGCTCTATTACGAGTTCGGGGACTGTTTGTGGTAGCCAAGTGCCGCCCACTGATATTTATTGCTTTGGACACTTGACACTATCCTCACCAAGTACCCATGTAACAATCCATATGAGCATACTTTGTCATACATAAACTTTTTTAAGTTTTTAGATTAGTGTTTATCGATAAAAGCAATTATATTTTCCAACAGTAGAAAAAGCATTGTATTGATATAACAAGAATATTATTGTTTACCAGTGTTTTCACGTTCTGTAATATCTTCTTCATCTGAAGTTTCCTCTTCTGAGTCAGATTCTTCATTCTCTTTGACTAAAGATAAAAGTGCTTGGCGATTTAATTGAGACTTGCTTCCTGAGTCATCGCCTCGTGTTTTGTTTTTACTTTGCAATTGCTGCAACTGTTCCACAGTTTCTTGTAAATCGCCGTTTTCCTTGGAAAGATTCATGTTGCTTTGCTTGTACTCAGCAACCATGCGTCCTACAGTACAAAGGTTTTCAATAAGTGGGTATTCAAAGCTAGCAACGTCGTGAAAACAAAAGCAAAATTTTTTTTTTTTTTATACTCAAAATTGCTATTGAGGAAGACATTTATAGCCTATATAAAAAAGTGGAATAAAAAATAAGGTGGTGCAGGTAGAACTGAAGGCGGTAAATACTCCCACTCAAAAGTTAGTAATTGCAAATTTTATATATATTCTTTACGACAAGCGTAATAATATACGGGTGTATCTCCCAGGTATATCACTTTCAGTTGCAATCATTCCACTAAAACTATATTAAACAGGGCATTATCATGTACGTGACCTTCAATTATATGACCACAATGACCTTCACTCGACAACGATTTTGGCACCGACGCATTGACTAATTCAAACAGAACGTCCTTTCTATACAAACTTGGGCATGTTACCGAACCTCATAACCGATTCAAACCCCAGTGTATCATTATAACTTGTTTTAATGCATAAATCAAAAATCATAAATTTGATGATTGATAAGGTTGGCATTGATTGCTGTTTGGCCATCAACGTCAGGTATATTACGTCATTCGTCTAGGCCTCATTTCAAAATGTCTGAAAGCAATCGGGGATTCCCACAATAAAGAAAATTGATTTCTTCAAGCGTTAACTTGGCTATCAAATTGTACTTGAGAACTCGGTACTAGACGGAGAATGGAGCATCCGCATTGGGAAGGAATAACCAATAGATTTGAGAAATACATGGTCCAGCAATGTACTCGATGTTTTATGTGCAATGCACGCCTGATAAAGCATACGATATTCAAAGGAGATAAAAGTACTCAGACATTCTGTTGAAAAGGCTTTGTGGTATCAAAATCTATTCCTGGTTAGTCGTTGAGTTAAGACATTGGAATGTGGTCCTCGATGACTAAAACAGGTGTTTTCCAGTTACTAATGTAGTCGTATCCTGGCTGTATCATAGTCGAGCTTAATTTGTCAATGTCGAAAATATGAAGTAGATGTACTAGTAGTCGGATCGAAATTTTATCGATTTTTTTTTAAAATAGAAATGTTAAATCTGTAAGTTCGAAATTGGAATTTGTTTGAGTACACGAAAATGTATCGCAGTATATACATGCCATTCAGGATACTATACAGTTATTACCCCACTCCAAAATTTTCTGACCTGTTTTTATTGGATTTTGCTTGTGTCAGGTTAGGTTTCCATGGTTATATCAGAGAAATATCGGCTAAAACCTACAAACTATTCTAACCCCAAATACCATCGGAGCAACTTGAATTCAATACGCCATAACAAAACGATAGAAACGAACTATATTGTAGCAGGCTTAACTTGTTTTCAGGCAATTAACTTATTCCTTTATCTACCTACTCGATGACTTGAATTTGAGCCAAATTCGTGACTAAAAATGAAAATGAACTATATCTGAGTTACAAGAATGCAGTGGGCAAACCACTCACCCAAATTTTCCACGTGAAGAACACGTTTTTTCAGGAGTTCGTTTTCGCGCAAAATATCTTCAATTCTTTTGTTGATCTCTTCAGAATACGTGACGTCACTGGTCCCTGTGGCGCTAGCTGATTGTTCGGTTCCTATGGATGTTGCGGTGGCCCCGCCAGCGACTTCTTGTGTGGAAAGCGGGTCTTTGTTTGCCGCATTTTTTGAGTTCATAGTGTCAAGTAGGATCTTCCTTATTGAACTGCATTTAGCTTATTTCAATATAATTACATGTTATAGCAGTAAAGGTTCTAAAAAGAACGAAATTATAAAGTATATTAAAAAGGTTAGTTCAATTAAAAACGTGTCAAAGTGAAGCACATTGCTCACTAATAGGGAGATTGGCATCTCAATTGGGTTGACTTATAATTTTGTTCAAAGTATAATTTCGCACTTCTATGATTCATAGCGTTAATGTCGACAGACAAATTGTCTCAATTTCAAGATCAATCGTCTTATATTTCTCAATGATCATCGTGACCTTAGTACATAATTCAACCTGGCTTTATTTTATCGCGTGTTGAAAGTTCTACAAAAAAAAAAATTAATTCCAATATCAAAGTTTGCAAATCGAAACAAAATGTAGAACAGATGGTGAAAACCAAAGTGTTTATAGTCACTTTGGTGAAAACCAGCTAAATTCGATCCCACTGAAGCTCTATTTCTTGCTTAGACCCAGCGATATTCTACTCTGCATACCAATAAACCTAAGTTTGATAACAGCCATCACAGCAGTCATTTTCAATACAATATACCTTATTTGCATTAACAAATGTGTCATATATTGCATAAAACCAAGGTTGCGTGAACTGAGGTCGCAACTGAATGCAACCAAAGTCAGTTGCGAGTAAGCTACATAACAAATATTATCAAAGTGTGTCATCAGTGACAATGACATGCAACCTTTGAAACAATGCTATTTCTTTCTATAAGCTTGTTGAATATAAACTTCATTTGTTTACAAGTCGGCAACAATCCTTTGTCTTAATTTTAGCGAGTCATCGAATATCATGGATTATCGAAACTCACTCCAACCAACAGCAAAATGGAAAAGGAGTCAATAAAAAATGTACTGGCTACGAAAACTCAAGGGAAAATTTACTTTCATTTTCATTGACTAGTTACTTTGTTACTTCTCTAAAATCTGTTTCATTTTCTAATACGCTGACTCAGATTTTTCAGAATATCGCATTCTTTAGGTGTGTTTAATTTAACATCATATATGTACCCAGTTCAAGTGTGGACCAGAGCTATACATTACATGATATGAGATTTATTAATAAATAAGATTAAAAACGGGGTAATGGTGTTAACGGTGTTAACCATTCACAAAAGCATTTTCACCTGTTAAAGAGGAGCAAGTACGGTTTGGTGCAATGTATATAAAATATTTATTGCTTAATAAAAAATAGAGAAGGACTTGTTATTGATTTATAGTTACGAAAGACCACGCGAAACAATTGCCGCCGCATAATATTTATTGCGAAACAAACGAGCCGCGCGCGTTGTTTGAGGTCAGGTACTTTCCGAACAAGTGAATCACATCCGATCCGGTTATTTGGCCAGTTTGAGCCGATCAAGACAATCTTTTGCGTGTAGAATTGTAGAATATAACAGCTAACTGTTCAAAAGGTTATAAACAGCTACGAACATCTATATATAATATTAAAAAGGAGCGAACATACTAAACACGGCCGGTTGGAACATATCATAAACAAAATGATGATTCATGCCTATATGATTTCTCAGATACGAGAAGATAATCTCAACGACATTGCCAGCTCATGATGCAAGAACGACGAATGGGTAACGTACAAACGGCCTTTCATGTTGTATTCTTCTCACATTAATCGCGAACAGAAATCAAAATTTCATGTAGGGTAAGACTGAACACTCATCGAAATCACGTCATCGAAAAATTAAGAGCAAATACGAAACAATGAATATATCAGGTAATTTTATTAGTTAATTGGTATCTAAAGTGGCATGACAGTAGGTTACGTCCAGTATTTGAAGAGTACAGACAGTGGATTGTCGTTCAAATATTTACTGATTGGATATATTGGATTTCACCTGTCCAATGGTTTATACTTACGTTACCAGGTAAATGTAGGATTGTGGATGACATCATATCACGCCAGTTATCGATAGGGCACGAAACAGAGTATGCGCTGGTGCAACAATTAATGTTTACTTTGGCGTTTCGTTAACTCATATACAATTCATCCCGAGCATAAAAATTACCCCAAACGCGTTTTAACTGCAATAATACATGCTGACCAGTCACGCTCCAATGATTGCTGGATTGGGTTGAAACGAGGTCGAGTGTTAACGAAAAACTCCAGATCTTTAATTAAAATGTATTCAAATTGATAATAAAATATTCAAATTGAGTACAGGTTGACTTCTTGTGTCGTCCATAGGCAGCCAATCACACATGGATTCCATAAATTGGCATCACTTGTTTCTAGTATGCCGTATTTTTGTACCTGGTGTACGTCCTAGTCTATAAAATCTGAATCTGAAAGACCTCTGCGTGTACGTATTACTACTTTAATCAAATTGACCTAACCTGCTATGGCAATTTAACTAACTTTACCAGGATTGTCATATAAATATCGTCATATCGTTTCTGAAATGACCAAAAACACAACGCATAAGCGCTTCGTAAAGCTCTGTTCAGCGAAGCAATAATCTCTCTTCTTTCTATCAATACCATGCGGGGGTTTCCCAAGCCATCATTACATGCTACGTAGTATGTTAACTCTTTACTCGCGTTTGGACAACTGATTCAGAGCACGAGTAAGGCAAATCTTACTTAATATAATTTAATCACTGAACATATGGGCAGTAGGTAAGGAATATCGATTGTACACTGGAAAGAATGGCTATTTAAGACATTAATTTGAACATTTAAAAGCCCATATGGGTATCGGTGGGTTGATAAGAGTATAATTATCTATTCTCTTCGTACGAGGTGGTTTCCAAACGAGGGTCGCAGCTGTATATAAAAGTGAGGCAAATTGCGAATACGAGAATTTTAATTTTTGCACGATTCGGACTTTCAGGAATAGATTTAATTAAATTCCGCAATTTTATATTAAATAATACACAATCGCATTCCACAAATAGGATGGTTACGAATCCTATGATGGAATAAATTACGACGTTTGCTCGTTTTGGCATGGTATTGCAACGAAAGATCTCAATGGATGATTGTATAATTTGAATAGCGATATCTAACAGTGAGTCATACATACATTTCATGCTCTTAAAATTTAACTGTTAGATATTTCGGTACTCCGAAGTATGCGTACCAAGATGGCAGACACCGGAACGTAGTATGTGTACCAGGGAAAAATACGGGAGTCACTTGGCTAGTCCCTTGAGGCTAACGTTAGGGTACGAGAAGCAATCTTTCCAAGAAGCAATATTTTTTGACAACAACTTAGAACAGACAATACAAAACAAGCCTTAGTACCGAAGAAACGGAATCGCACTAAAGCAGTATATTCTTGGTATGGTCCGAGTCCAAAAAATGGCGTTTTCACTGTGAGCTATGCCATTAATATGGGTGAATATTTTGTTCTCGCCGAGTTTCATTATCAATAATAGCCATACCCAAAGGCGAGCTGAGCTCTCAGTCTAACAATTGACCATTTCGACCCAAAGTGTGGCCACGGTTGAAAAAAAATTGCAAATTAATATGATAATTCATGTTATATGACCAGGGTCGTCCAACCCGTGTCGCGCGAGGAGTTCCGAGTGGCCCGCGCTGTATTTTCGGAATTAAATATAAAAAAAGGAGTAAAACTCCCTATTTTGCGAGTGATGTAGTTAATATGAAGATTTGATACAAACCAATTTGTTCATTTCCCTGAAATGCGCTCTGCTGGCCCTTTCAAACGAGTCAGGAGTGCCATTTTTGAATAGAAACCAACTGGAAGATATCGATACATAAATGGTTCGCTTACACCCTTGGGCAGAATGGCAGTTTTAATGACCTCATTATTTGTCAGCACCGCAGCATTTGCTTGTACAAGCAAGTTTTTTTCACAGATGAACCATGTCAAATCCCCTGTTGAGACCACTAATTTCCTGACAGTCATATGGAAAATTCGCTTCGCATTGCTACATCGTCCATCTCAGCAAATATTGACAAACTTTGTTAGCGAAAAACAGTGCCAAACTTCACACTAAAATATATACGTGTAGAAAAAACTTTGTTGACTTTACTGTATCTTCATTTTTTTATTGTTCTTATTATTGAAAAAGTTTGGTGCAAGGGTTTTGTTTGTTTTTTCATAAACTTTTAGTCAGTGTAGCTAAACTAGAACATAATTACCATGTGGCCCGCGCAATTAATAGTAAACTAAATGTGGCCCGTCGTCCAAAAAGGTTGGCCGACCCTGTCATAGACTAAAACAACAAGATGTAAACTCACTTGGTATTGCGTCACGCATTGCTTACCAAGCATGTTCTTCAGCTTGTTTGCGGTAATGTCATCAAGATTACACGTGTTTAGGGATATTCCAGAATCTATATTTACTTAGGAGACCTATTGTCGAACAAAGTAAAATGAATAACAAGTAGAACTGTTGAACCAAGATGACCAATTATATCTTAATCGTGTGAATGAGCAAACACGTGACAAGCGAGTTACGTAATTTGTTAGAAATTGTCAAATCAAATAGACTATTATCGGTGCCGTAGACTGAAAGGTGTTTTTGTTGGGTTAGTGCCTTTTGTGAAAAGGCATTTGTTGCGAAACACCAGTCCTGTCAAGAAACTCCCAATCATACTCTAACGTTTTATCCCTATTCTAACTAAGAACATATCATCAGATACAATTTAACTGTGTTTCATTGCAAACGTTCGCGCGAATGATTGTCGCGAAAAATCACTGCTAGCATTTCAACCACCCTGTTTTATATCTCGTTGAGAAAATTACTGGCAACGCTTTCTGCAGTAGTTCTATAAGACCAACTCAAGGTCCTCCCGTATTATGTGTACCAGGTTAGGGTCAGGCCATAATTTTATTCCCATTTTGCTTATTTTAGTTCTATTACGAGTTCGGGGACTGTCTGTGTTAGGCAAGTGGATATAGCCCCTGCCCACAGGCTTTAGCCCCTTCACACAACTTGATGTAGAGTAGGCGAACAAAATTAGTTACTTCCATATTTCATTTCCAATATTCATAAGATATATTAAAAAATCAATATGCAATTAATCTAAAATTTCAATTGATTCA